ATGTTTTGTAAACAATAATTTTATTTTCTAAATAATAAATATGATTTTATGTAATGTAATGTGTGTGTGTGTGTGTGTATATATATATATATATATATATAATGTGCAAATTTATAAATTTTAAGTATTAAAATAATTATTCTCTTATTAATATTATATTTTTATATTTTTTTTTGAGATCCAAATAATATTTTGATATAAATGTGGATTTGATGTATTATTTATTTCTATTATTTTATAAAATATTAATTTTAAGTATTACATTTTTAATTTTTAATTGGAGTTAATCGTAATTCGAAACACTATTTTCAAAACCGGATCGAATAGGACGGTCGGACCGGAAAAACCGGGAACTGGTCACTTGACCCGTTCCATTTTCCTCCAAAACCGCTTTGTCCTCCAAAACCGTTGAGTTTGGTCAGCAAATTGTTGAACCGACCGGTTAACTATTCGAACCGTTTTTCAATTTTAAAAAAAAAATTTTTAAATTATTTTATTTTTTTTGCTAGAACGGGCCGGCCAATTCAAACCGGTAACTATACCCCTGACCGGTTCATTTTTAAAAACCATGATTCGTAATATGTATTATTTATTTGAATTGCATTTAAGTAATAAAGAAATAAAATCTGTATTCATTCACTCATAAACACAAAAGGTGGAGTGCCATAGTGGCTTATAGGGTGGATGTTAAGCTCTCTCTTAGCTCTTGACGTGGGTTTGAATCTTGCAACTTTTTTTTTTTTTTTTTAATTCCAGTAGAAGAGTGTGCATGTGCATTTGCGTCTCGCGGGTAGCTTATCATTCTATATCAGTCAGTCTGTATCAATATGTATCTAATACAATGTGATACAAACTGATACACACCCATATCAGCCCAATAAGCATAATTGACAAGATACAACTCCAATTATATCGTATCTCGTGCCGGACACTAACAATACTAATACAATATGCCCCGTATCAATATTTCAATCCTTGCGTCTAAGAAGATAATTGATTGAAATGTTGTAAATGTGGAACAGGTGGTGAGTTATGAGTCTTTGGACCTGATTTTTGGAATTGGTCGATAAGATTGCCCAAGAATGCTTAGAAAACATAGCTTGGGAAAGTGAACCCTTGAATAAAAGACAAAGTTAGCTCAAATCCATCTGGTTATGTTATATGTAGATTTTGGGCAATGGCCGCGAATGAGAATGAATAAGTCATTGAAAACTTAAGCTCAAGTTTTTGTGCTTAATGGTCATCCGTCCGGAGTCCAGAATCGAGTTCACCTGGATTGTTGTTTGTTAATGAAAGATGTTTGTTACCCAAAGGAGAGATTTCATAGCTGCAGCGATTCGAAGTAGCTGCATTTAATCATATAAAGTGTCCATGGTTTATACTGGACAAGTTGTTACTTCGAAACCTACAGGCTACAAAACACCTAAAAGCACCCGGTATTGGAGCTGACCAAACACCAAAGCATGATCTCGAGCAGATCAGACGGTTGAGAGCTCTTGAGCAAATGGCTGCGCAGGTGCCATGAGCAACATTGGTATATATATTTTCCATCTCCAGGTATCATAAAACTTCAAATCTGAATTCCAATTCTATTTCAGATTACCCGTTCTGCAACGTCGTTGATGTTGATGTGAAGAGGGAACTATACACCTTGCTTTCCTAAATAAAGTCTCTCAGGTTGGAGAATACCGTATATTTGTCTATTCCATTCAAGAAATCAAAAACGGGAAAGGTTATCATCAACTAAACCACATCATTATCATCCTCAATCCTCCTGAATCCTGATCATCATCATCATCCGTTGGAACTTAAAGTTTCCAAACAAAAATAGTTTAACAGAAGAGAAGGCAAAAAATAGTTGGGATTTTTTCTGTTGAAATAATATTAACATAGGCGGTAGGCCTACCATTATAAGATTGAAGCCTAAGGTAATAGAACTATACAAGTCTTCCTTGCTAAAATGTTTCATTCTTAAACATTAAAGCCAACAGTTTGCAGAGCACTCTGGATCTCCTACACAAACTGTTCGAATATCCATATCCACAAGATATTACCGCCCTGTATTGGGATCCCCGATAATGACAAGGAGAGAGGGACACCATCATGCCTCAAAATTCTACGCACCTAACTGGCAACTTTTAGTGATTTTACATTCAAAACTGGGTCTAACACACGAGTTCAGATTTGCTACTCACCCAGCACTCCCCACACCAACCTTACAATGCGTTTCAGCCGTATATTAAGAACATTTTCCATATTTTGTGTTGTTATTTATAGGGCTGTGAGATCGGTGTGAGGTATCCTATGTGAAGAGTCAATGCCGATTCCTAACACAATGACATAACATGACCACTGGCCTATTTGTCCACCCCAAAAGGAAGATATTTGCATGAAAGAGAAGCACTTTTTGCCGATGGCCCAGACACTGAGATAGTATAATTGCAGGCTTTTCATGATCATTCTCAAGTATTCCTACTCTGCCTACTCCCTATCCCTCGCAGTTGCAGGCTCTCTCCATTTGCAGCCATATTTGAAATTACCGAGTCCGGATGTGCTCTTCACATCATGGCTCCTCAAACTGTTCTCACACAATTTAAGAGTGTCACATGTTTTTTGACTCGTGCATAAGGCTCAGTTTGGAAAGAGTACAAATATAAATATGTACAGTACAAATACATAAAAAATAATATAAATATAAAGTTTTATATTTTACAAATTTGTATTTGTACTCCTTCTAAACTGAGCCTAAAGAATACATGTGCGACGGACAAATTCATCCCGTTGGCTCTTCAAAACCCCCAAATTCAACTTTTATGTTGTATTCTCCCTTCCCACTCGAATATAATCCGTCTCTCTTCCAGAGACAAAATCCTATCCCCCATCGACTGCCTTCCTCTCCTCGTCTCTCTGAAGTTTTGGGAGAAGAGAAAGGTGGAGAAACCTAAGAAGCCGTAGTAGCAAAAGGTGGAGAAATTGCGACAACTGAATAAGTCTCTTGACGAAACCTCTGAAAAGCCCACTTGGAGGAGCTTCGGTTCATCTTAAAATGCTCCCCTTGTTGCACCATCAATGAATTAGTAGGCGGTGGCGGCGGCACCATCGACTGAGCGGGCCAAAATTGGTCGGGCCAACCCCCTAAGTTATCCCATAGAAGGGTGGCATGGGCCGAGGCAGTCCATAGACTGGCATGGCCTGTTTTACATCTCTAAGGAGAGGAAGGCAGTTGACGAGGAGGTATTGGCTCTGGAAGAGAGACGAATTATGTACAGGGAGAAATTGAATTTAGGGGTTTTGAGGTGCCAGTGGGATGAATTTGTCCATCTCACATATGTTCTTTAGGCACGAATCAGAAGCACGTGGCACTCCTAAATTGTGTGAAGACGGTGTGAGGAGCATATCTGGACTGGAAATTTCCTCTTTGTGGGTGGCATTAATATTTAATAATGATGGAGACCGAACCTCGAGTAGGCCTTTGGTGTGTAATAAAGTTGGTTTGAATAAAATGGTTGAAATCCTAATTAATGCTAATATGCTGAAACCGACATATTTTAATTTAAGGGCGTAGAACTAAAGATGTGTGGGAAGAGAATAAATGTGGTGGGTCATGAGTTAGTTCTCGAAATAATTCCTCTACATGCTTTATCAATCCAATTGTGATAAGCATGTTATGGGTTTATTATCCTGTTGTCCCAAGTCTGGAGGACGAGAGACCATTCTCGTCTTCAGGGTGCAAGACCTCCTGAGTCCTGATATTTATTTCTAGTATAATGGCAACACCAACAAGGGATTAATGTTTGAGCTGGATGCGATGTTTTCACTGGGCTACTTGTTGCGCGAAGCTCTGTCTACGTGGATGAGTATATGCGTGGTGATAACCGAGTCCGTGACGCTGGCAGCATCGGATTTCGGAAGCTGGAAGCCTGGAACCCATCAATCAGGCTATGTTTTTGGTTTAAAGTTTGATAGGCCTAGCAAATGCTAGAATTCGTTTCATCTCATTTTCTATCAAACCAAACGTAGCCTCAAGTTTCATCCAAATTGGATTGATTCACACAAATTGAAAACAGAATTAGGAACGATATATTTGTAACTTATTCTTTTGATTTTCAAGATTTCCTGGTAAGTAATAAAATGATATTTTTACTAATAAAAAATTAATATAAAAATGGGCAAAATTGTTTTATTATGTTTTATAAAATTTCCTCTAAAGCTACATATCCACCTGAGAGATGGAGGAGATCCACTACTTATTCCCACATCTCAGCCCACAGGACATAACAGTTTTTTTTTTTCAATTCAAAGAGGCATGCGGTGGGTATAAATGTGGGAACGTAGCAGACTCGAAGTGGTAAGTTTTACTTAGAGAGAAGTAGGATCATTATAAATTTGATTAATGGAAAAAAGATACTCATTCCTCAATTTTCTCAAACTTATTATTCACCAATGGACGTAAATTGTTTTTCTTGTTACCGGTTCTAAAAGTAAATTCAAACCATCTTATTTGAAAATAAATTATTTCTTAAAACAAAAGCACAAAGAAACATGTTCTTACTTATTTTATTTTTCTAACAGAAACAGAAAACATGTTATTCAAATCTGTTTTCAAAAACATGTTTTAATCTGGTTTTTCGAAATCAACTTAAAATTTGTTTTCAAAACCAACTTGTTTTTTCATTTGAAAACCAAAAACGGATTTCAAGAATGATTGTTATGCTTATGTGATAATTCCAAAAACAAATGAAAGCAGAAACATCGAACGCCCCCTTAGTATTTGATGAAACGAATTCATCAATTATAGCAATATTCCGATGACAAGCTTCAAAAAGACCCCCCTCCCCTCCAAAGAACAGCGCAAGACTCAAAACCTCATTCTTGTCCCAACGTCTCTCATTGATGCGTATACAATGAGATCTGGTTATTTTGGTCCATCATACCGTAGTTCCGTCTCTCTCTCTCTCTCTCTGGTAAAGTAGGTATGGAGTTTGATGAGAAAATTAATATGGACTTGGCCCAGAGATGGGTCCTGATAAATGTCAAACATATCGCTAGATATCTCCATTAACAATCCAAAGGAGAATAGAAATTCATTAAACGTRACAAGAAAGAGAGCATATTTGGCGACTAACTATCATATTCCTTACTAAATCTACTGCCTTCATTTTGAATACCAAGAAGAGAAAATGTAGCACAGAATGGCAGGAGTGTGCACCTTCAGCCTCAAGCTCCTGCCTGGAACGAACTACACACAGACACAGTTAGGAAACGTAACCTGTTGGGAACAACCCAGTGAAGACGGCAATAATGACCAAGGCAATAGCAGAAGGAACTGCAAGTTGGGGTCCGTGCATGAATCCGATCGAGGGCATGGTTGTTGCAGAAGTCGTATTGGAAGTATCTGCGCATTCAAAAGTGTAAGTTAAATCGAATTTATTGCTGAGGCACTAAAAGCTAAGATAAAGTAAAGCTCAGAAGTCAGACCTGATAAGGAGGAAGTAGACGAAGAATTTGAAGTGGAATTGAGGAAGATGGCATTGTCTGGAGAATCGCGAGGTAAGTTTAGAAGCCCTGCGCAACAAAAGATTGAATAAGCACATAATGATACAAGTACACCAGAAACAAAAAAACAGGGGCCACTCAGGCTGATCAGAGATCTCACTCAGGCTGCAGGCTGAACCCAAAAATTAATCGAAACCTGGTTATACTTCAGTTAGAACAAGAAACAAACTACCCCCAAAAGAAAACTGCCTGGGTTTTCCTCTCTGCCGGATTTTGATTTATGTCTGGTCAAAGCGGTGACACACTGTACTCATTGAAACAATTTAGATTGATGAGTTTCGTGGATCTACTGGAGCCTGGGTAGGATATGCTTAGGACTGTAAGTGTTCTACAAAAGTAATCACTGTGGCTATGGTAAATACTTTCAACAAACAGTAGCAGCAAGCAGAAAAATAGAAACTGCAAGATCATCAGGGAAAAAAGAAATGAAAAAGAGAACAGGGAGAGAGACTTACGTGGGCATTCGCTAATGCTGGCATTAGTCAACTTGCATGTACCAGAGATCTTAAGCAACCTATCCTCCTTCAGACCTAGTTGCTTGACTTCTGGACGACCATTGTGGGTCTGCTGAATAAGGAAACACAGACAAACTGGGTGTTGATCCCTCATACTAGTAACAGAAGTGCAGCATTCTTTTGTAGGTAACTCTGCCTTTCCTGTGGAGTAATCTAAACAGGGAGACAGCTTAGTAAGAAGCTCATTAGCGCACTGTTGTGCCAGAGCATCTGATGCTGAATCTGCAGCTGAGAAGATTGATGAGGCAAAGAGATATGGGGCAAGGAGTAAACAGAAGAGAACAAATTCAGATCTCATCACCATCTCCATCTTTGGTTCTTCACTTTAACTCTTTCCTCTTCCTCTTCTTAACAATGAACCCAGCTCCCGTTTCTGCAATGGAATGAGGGATGGGGTGAAGAAAAAGCAAGAACAGCTTCATTATTTATCAAAGAAGATGCATTTAATAGGGGAGGGTTGTGCCCATTCACTGACTGCTAGGCTGCGTCGTGGGGTGGGCACTTTTAATAGGGTCAGGTGCAGGGTAGATGGTCGCAGTTAAGCACTTCTCTTTCTCATCGTCATTGGAATTTGGAACTTGGACCGCACAGCCTGGATCCGTCTCCCTGCAACAAAACCCGAACTACCAACTCGATTTAAATTTTAAATTTTAAATTTGGATCGGAGTATATATCGGCCGGTGCAACCCGAAATTATATTCTGTCTTTCTACCAACAAAAATTATTTTTGTCTTGTCTTTTTTTTCCTTTCAACTTATAGTCTTCTACTTTCTACATTCTTTCTAGCTGTCTTTGGACTTTGGTTGGACAGAAAAATAAAAAAAAATGTTAAATGAAATTTCATTGTTTTTTAAATAATTGTTGATGGAAATTGGAAAGTTTTTTTTCTTAAATAATCTTTCCTTCAATTTTCAGTTGTTCTCTTATTTTTATATCAGAACCAAACAAAGCCTGAATTGATCCTAGGGGTAGGGTGCAAATGTGCAATTCCAATTGGCGTTAGCATTTTACACGAATTCAGAGTTGGGCCTTCGGTCCAGGTGCATTCAAATTTTGACAAAAACCCAACACGACCCCAAAATCCGAAATGCTCCACACCCCATTTTCAAGTTCAACCCATTCTGGATGCTTCGGGTCGGTAAACATTGGCACATAAGAGGGCCAAGTCGGACTCGAATCCCGGTTTTGTAAACTTGGGAAGGATACTTATCTCTGTGGCTCTAACAGGGCCACGTTGCCCTATGTTTGATTTGAACCTCCATTTTCTTTTAACACAGTGCCACTGTGGACTGTGGAGATAAAGGACGCAAGCCAAGTAGATAGACTGGGGAAGTAGAGAGTCAACAAATCCCATGTCTGGGCGGGACCCAGCAGGCACCTAAATTAAATACAAGAAGAGAGGATGGATCATGGATGTAACGGTCGATAATGATGACATCACATTTTGATTTCAAAATTCCAAGCACCATACGTCCGTACCATAACATTCTTTGTTGGGCCGATTAATATTTAATATACCCACCCTACCCATGATGGCCATGAATCTCTTCTTATCCATACATAATAATAATACATTAGCATGCTAATAACATTCGGGCACAATTCTTCGGTCACGATTAAACCAATTACAATAATGCTGGAGCTGGACCATATCGGCAAAACGTCGCACCTCATGAGGGAGATTGACATCTGTTCATGGGCTGAAAATGAACTATTCAAGCCCTATTCAGGACCACTCATTAAAATTGCTTAAATGAGAACCAACTTTAAACCCAAGATGAGGGCAACGTTGATAATGATACTTAGGCCCCGTTCAGGACAGTTTTTTGTATTTGGGGCGACCTGCATTAGTTGAGCTGTTTTGGTTGAGCACCCATGTATCTGACTTCGTTATGATTATGGCATTCGAAATAAATGCTCTGTGGGCTCAATTTGAAATGCCAAAAACCACGTTCCGAACATCCTCCCAAATGGGCCCTTACCCAATAGGGAGCAGATAGACATTATCGGAATTCTTCCGGTCACAGCCAAAAGGGTAACTTCTTTCTCATCTTGGGTCGGTTCATTTAAAAGGTGGTGGCCCGATTGAAGCAATTAACCGGTGGAAAGAGAAATGTATAAAAGCATTATGAGGCTAATTTTGGGAGTTCGGATTTTTTTTTTTTTTTTTTTCATTTCGAAGGGCTACACCAACGTTTTAAAAGCCTAAAGGCGGAGTCAAGGCGGTTGGGTGCTAAAGAGGCGAGGCGTAAGCCTCAAATTAAAAACTTAAAAACTATAAAAAAATAAATAATTGAAAGTTTATATAATTGTTTATGACTTAATGTATGATTCAACAATTGCCGATTGTTCAATCAAGTTAAACATGCCAAAATTTGTATAAAAAATAATTCAAGGATAAATCAACAAAAAAAAGGTAAACATTCAAATGAGAATAGAAAATCTGTAGTCAAATTAATAAAGAACAATATCATGTTCATTGTATGCAACATGTATCATTACAACACTTATCATGCTCATTGAAATAATAAATTAATAAATAAGTAAATAATATATTAACAATATAACAAATTAATATTGATCTAGATTTAATATATTTTTGGAATGCATTTCAGTTTAGGAAATATTGAAATGCATTTTAATATTGAATCTAGATTCGTATAGGAGAAGGAGGAGGAGGCGCTGGAGGATCTATGTACTCTGTAGGCATGATTCGACTTGTCTTTCTCCCTCCAATATTCTCGATCTTGAATCTTGAGTTTGGTCTGTGTGAACTAAAAAGTCTTTTTGAAATCTTGAGTTCGTTGAACAAAAAAGGGGGAATGACAGTTTTGATCAATAGAAACCCACATTTTTTGAGGTTTTCACTTTTAATTTTTTCCAAAATTAGGCATCATAAAATCAAGTTTTCTCCACCCAAAACCTTTTTAATTTAAAGTTACTGCCTCATGTAAACCCAAAGGCTTATACCTCACTAAAACTGAGGCTTACACCCCTTGAGCTGATACTAAGGATACCAAGGCCAGGCGATAATTGCTTGCCTCACCTCAACTGCCTTTTAAAACCATGGGCTACACAACAGGGTATCCCATCCCCCAAATCTACGCTACTAAGAGACCATATCGGCGGCACCTTGGAAGTGTAGGAGATACTTTTTTTGTCGGTGGTAGATTTTTATTGCCAATGTAGTTTACTGTATAAGTGTCTGTATTGCATGGTTTTTTTGGATAAAATATAGGTACCCTGTATTTGGGGTAGTGACAGATACGCATCCTGAAATTTCAATTGCAATACTCGAGTATCCAAATTCATAAAAATAGACATTTGCGTCAATCTGTTAGTATTATTGTATAATGTCAAAAACACCTTTATGAAATTGAGGGAACGCCAGCGCATGTCTCCTTAGTAAAACGGCAGCGGCATGCCTTTTTCAAATTTGAAAAGACACCAGCTATCGCGCCTCCCAAGTGGCGCGCCTTTTTTTGAAATTTCGAAATAATGTGCACGCCGCCACATCTACCAGCGTTTAGACAGGCCGGCGTGCTTCCCGCCTAAATAGACGCTCGAAGAAGCCCAAGAAACCCTGACAAACGCACCTCGCGCCAACAGAACCAAGATTCAAAGTGCAGAACAAATCTACATGACACCTCGCGAACTCCCCGCGCCAGGACAAGACCCTTAGCACGAGGAGTGGGGGGCAATTGATGAAGGGAGATTTGGCCCGACCTCGCAAATCACGCCACGTGGAAAAAAAACAAGTAGCTCGGCACTTAAAACAGCGTATCGAGGGTACAAACACCAAAGGGAAGAGACCAGCGGTCCGAACTCCCTACAAAGTGCCCGAACTCCCTACTTAGAGCTTGAACTCCCTACTTGGAGCTCGAACTCCCTACAAGGAGCCCGAACTCCCAGCAAGGTGCCCGAACTCCCTACTTAGTGCTCGAACTCCCTACGAGGAGCCCGAGCTCTCCCTTCGGCCCCGAGTCGCACAAAGCAGAGACCCGAACTGGCCCGTCCTATGACAGTTCGGGCCCCCCCTTATCCGAACTCAAGACTTCGCCTCACGCACCGCTCCGGGCACTTCGCTTCCGGAGCATTGAACTGGACGAACCACACCGTACCTGACACCGAAGGAGTCCGTATCCAGGGGCGGCGCACCTGACTGACTTGGGATCTGACGCYTGACGRCCRCATTTCAAACGGCCACCTGCCACCGTCACCTGTCACCGCTACCTCCAGTTACAGAGACGGCTCCGACAAAAAGAGCAGTGACGGTTCTGCCCCAGCAGAGGCGATGACGCCCGAACTGGTAGAAGCACGGAAATACTCATTCCCGACCTGACAGGAGTCTAGGAGTGAGTGCACGAGGTGGTGATAAAAGGCTCTCCACCCCCAAAGAGGAGGTATGCAAACTTTGCGCTATTTGGTTTTACCTTGCATTTGAAGGATTCTAACTTAAGCTTCGGAGCCTTTACACGGGTTCCCCCCGGAGCTTCCCCATCTCCTCCGTTTCAGGTTCTCTGCTACTCAGTTCAGAGGCAAGGTCGTTGACAGCTAAGACCGGTCGGATTGCGCATCCATGTAATCCGGAAGAGAGGCCAGTTCAGGGAACCATCCATGTAATTGTGGGAGGTTCGGTGGTAGCAGGGTGTATCTCGGCAGCAGCCCGGACTTCAGTTCGCGAAGCGGC